ATATAAAAGAGAAAGTAATAGGAGAGAAATCAACTTTGTCACATGATCCAAGCTCTCCATCTTGCTTCTTATTTCTTCGTCCAAATCTAAATGTAAGTGCAAGATGGATATACTACACTAATTATACTATACTAATGAACTAAAAAATCTAGTAAAGACAGCATCTTGGTAGTGTCTCTAGCCTTTCAAAGTTATGAAAAATGTTTTCCAAGCCCCTTATATATAGAGAATTCAAGCTTCAAAATGAATTGTTAAAATTGATGTGAAATGCATCTTGAGATTTCCAAAATATGTTTCTACAAGTTTTCACACTTTTCTTTACAGCTGCAGCCGAAATTTTTAGCTGGAGATAAGCTGGAAAAAGCCGATTAACTAATTATTAGCTTAACTTGACTCATTGTAGCTTAACTAAACTAATTGCTTGGCCATTAACCAAGCATGCCAATTGTTTCCTCTAATAAACTAACAAGACTCATGGCCCACCAAACATTAAGTTGGCCGAATTTGGACTCAACCCTAACAATCTAGCCAACCAAGAACTCAACATGAGCTGGTGGCTTTTATTCAACATACAAACAACTAAATAACATAACTAAGTATCAAATGACTCTAGAATATAGCTAAGACAACGACTTAGAACTCCCCTTGATTCCAACGAACTCGAGCTAGGGTTGATCAATCAATTTTTACTCCACTTGAATTAAGGTAACGAATGACGAATTACCACGATCAAGTCTTTCAATTGATTTAGGTACTCCAATTTGCTCTTGGATAGCCCGCATCAGTGCTTGGAATGACTCTTTAAGCCGCTTAGCACGAACGCTAGTGATAGGACCTAAAGGAACCTTCACTTGGTCGACACTTGAAGATTGAACGGCTTGATTTGCCATATCAAATTCTTTGCATATTGGTATAACATATAGACATTCATTAAATATTTATCATATTCTTTGCACATTGGTATAATATATAGACATTCATTAAATATTTATTGACTCTTAATAGTTACACGTCTTCATCTTCAACGGTACTGATTACTCAATCTAGTGATTGACCCCACTAGAATGGATAGTGAAAAGGACCTCCAAAGTACCCTTTGACCAACATTGCACTTTACCTTTCAATAACATTGATAGGACTATAAACCCTACCGATAAAGATGTGACCATTAGAGCTATCCATCAACATTCACATTTAATCAAACAATCAAGTAACATTTCATATACATATAGCTTTCATAAAAAAAAACATTTAGATGCAACAAATATAGCCATACAAATTCCATTTTCATATAGAAAGTAACATTTTATTAAACATTAGAAAAACATATTTAAGAAAATAAAAAGGAGTAGATTCCACTCACCTCAATTCACTTGATAGGAAGCCCAATTAAGGTTCTTGATCCTTGCCTTCTAACCCAAGAGAAATGACATGTAAATCCCTTGTGTAAATTGACGTTCATCATTTATTTCTCTAATGCATCCCCTAGAGAAGTTTGACTAAGATAATTAACATTCCTAAGCGAGTAAAGTGTATATATTTAACATTTCCCGTTTTAGTAAGTTTTCTATTTTAGAAAGTTTCCTTCTAAGAAAGTTATTATTTTTGGTAAGTCTTCCTAACTTTGGAAAGAATCCTAACTTAGGTCCATATTCTTGGAAAGCCAATCATTTAGGGAAAGTTTTATTAAATTAGTGCTCTTTATTTTAGGAAGGTCACGCACTTAAAGAAGTCTTTAAATTCGGAAAGTCCATAACTTTAGCAAGTCGCTTATTTTGAAAAACATTTATTTTAGAAAATTTTCTCAATATGTCAGTGACTTTGACTTGCAAATTCATTGTTTGTTTTGTCGTTACTATCACAATCTTTGTGTTTTCTATTTTTGTACAAAATTAGAGTTCTAGCACTTTCAAGACATCTTAAAATAAAGCCTTTTAACTGACTTAACTATTAGCAGCCCATAACGAACATAAGAATGCCCTTGAAACAATTGCAATTGCTGCTGTAACCTAGTAGTAACTTTAGTACATTAAAGGTTCAAAAGTTAACCTAAAAACTAAACGAGACAACTTCTAGTAATACTGTAACTGTTGTAAAATTAGGCTGCTAAATAATGCTAAAAGTAATCAATTTTAGTGGTAAAAATGATCATATTACTTTGCTTCAAAGTGGTTATAACCAATAACATAATTAAAAAGCAACAACACTTAGTTTTCCTTCTCGATTTCTGTATACGGCTAGAGAGACCATTAGGCACATGACTATTGGAATTTGATTTCTTCAAGGATGCAACCTAGGAACAGATACTTCTAAATAATAATTTTTTTTCCAATTCTAGTTTCATGTCTTCTATCGGTTTGTTTAATTTTGCCTACTAATCGTGCATTTCACACAATAATTAGTGAAAAAAAACTTCTAGTATGCGCAGGCAAAATAATTTCATGAGTACAAAAGATTACGTTGCTAAAATGAGAAAGGAACAAAATTTCATTTACTTAAATGCTTTTCTTGATTAGTAGCAGCAAAATGTTGTGATGTGACGTCATAAAATTATTATTTTGACAATAAACTTTCAATTACAACGTAAAAGTTAGTCGAATCATTGTAATCGTGAAAAATTGAATTTTCAATACAAAACAACGGTGTAATTCAACGAGTGGCAATGATTTGGTCTTCAAAACGAGAAAGGTTTAATTTTTTATACATTTGAATATTTTTCTCAATCAAAGAAACCAAAACTTTATTTTTTGGCATTGCAAAACTATTTCTTGACAAGTACGACTACTTTTAAAGCCTAAACATGATCTAAACACTGTAATTCTCATTTTTGTGCTATTAATTATTGAAAACGTAGTTGATTAGTGAAAACTAAAAAATTTCTTGGGTACAAAATAAAAATAATATAAAATTGAGAAATAAAATGTCAATTATTCACCATAGTGCAATTTTTATAAAACGGTAGTATAATTTTGCAATCCGGTGTCGCAATATTCTATCTTATTTACTTTGTGTTTCACTGATCTAAAGGCAATTATAAGTCCTTTTAGACAAGGCAGGGGACATCAAGCACGACTTTTGATAGCTTTTGACATTTCTTTCATTTAAAATAACTTTTTTTGGGCGAACAATTTCAGAGGTCCCGGGGCTCCTTGTCTGGACATTTTGAAGGGCGTATTATGGTCACCATTTTTAGAAGAACTGGAGGAAAGGAAAATTGATTATATTTCTCATACGCATTTATAAGAGATTATGCCTGTATTTATAGACCTGTACAAAGTGAATATTGACAACTAACACAATGAATTTAGACTAGTCTCTATAAAATAAATTATTAATTGATATTAATTATTAATTAATGCTATTTGACTAATTAATGCGCTAAATTAATAGAATATACTAATTGATACAGTAACTTATTTACAGTAACAATGATGTACTGCTACCAGAGTAAGCTTTAATTTTTCACGCTCTGTTTGGTGAGACGTGTAACAATGATTTGAAGTAGAAAAAAAAACAAATTTCTACACTCATATTAGTGGACAATCACGTACAAGTTCAAACTCATAATATACAAGCTCTTAAAACTTCGATACATATAAACCAGGTGCATGCAAAAGAGACAAACGTTTAATTTATGCATTCGCCTCTTCAATCTAGATGCTTATTTACCAGATGCTAGTTTTCATCGTTTTGCCAAAATTTTTTTTTTTTAATGGAGATTCCACTAACTACATGTCTTAAGATACCAGCAAAGATAATACAAATCCAATGGGTTTTTTTTTTTTTTGGGGGTCTATGATCACTAATCACTAGATGATGACACAACTTTAGTTTTGACACCTTTATAATATTGAATTCGATGGGGATAATTCAGTCATCATCTGTTCTGCGTCTTTTCTTTGGGATAATTTCATAAACCTCCCTTGATGTTTCTCATAACATCACTTAGCAACATTTAGGTTTTTAAAACCACACTTCCCTTCCTTGAATTGACTTTTTTTTTAACATTTTAGCCCCTTTGGAGGAAATGCAAAAAAGATAAATTTTTTATTCCAATATTACCTTTATGTTACCTTATTTATGAAGCTTATAACAATAATAAAATATAAAATAAGGTTAAAAAGTAAAAAAAATGAAAATATGAACGAGTATAAATGCAATAACGAGTAATTTTGTAGATATCCAATATCTATTACCTAGTATAACAAATAACATTTTAGCAAAAAAAAAGGATATTCCTAGATATATATTTGGTCATTCGTTCATTTTTTATTAATTTTTTAAATTCTAACTTATTTATATAATTTTTTCTATAAGTAGGATTTATATTACAAACCACACGTATAAAGAGATTATTTTAATTTTTAGTAATTTAAATTACATTATGCATTAAAACATATTTCCCAAAAAAAATTTCTTGACTTGTATCTATTCAACAAAAATTTTCAAGATGTTAATTACTTACCAAAATCCTTCTAACTAGTTGACTATAACTAGATTTTAATTTATCCATGTCTTTTGCTGTCCCACTATCACCTTGACACAAAGAAATATGGACCAATATTAGATTGTAATTTAGTTATTTTGTTTTCTATATTTTTTTGGTTCTTTAAAAATACTCATTTCTTTTTAGTTTTTTGATTAAATAGTTATTAAGAGTGCAAGGATAATTTTGTAAATTTGTGACTTTTGATAGGGACATTTGATTTTATCAAGCTGATAGGGGAGATAAGTGAGATTTTAAAAGTCATAGGGGAGTTGAGTGATATTATGAGAAACCTTAGGGGAGGTTTCCGAAATTATCCCTTTTTCCTTTTTATTTGTTATTATACATGCACAAAAAAGTAATGATATCCGTTCGTCGTGTTGGAATGCCTGCAAACAGTATAAGAAAACGCTAAGTTCTTAATTCTTTGACTAAATCCTGATAAAGAAATTGTCACTTCTCAGAAATTAAACAACCACCATTAGGCTTCAGGCTGATCAACAGAAGCACGGATATGGCTCAAGAGGTATTAGACTGCTCCACATACCCCATGGTTGGTGGTGACGGTCCACATAGCTACGCTAGAAATTCCAATTACCAGGTAATAATCTACTATGCACAGTTAAATTTACTTGCTTAATTCTCTTGGATACCAAAAAGTGAGGAACATAATGTGTAAATGTTTAACATGATGCAGAAAGAATCACTGGATTCAGCTAAGCAAATGATGAATGAACTGATTGATCAGCATCTTGATCCTGGAAACCATCTGTACTCTTTTAATCCTGGCAATAGCTCATTTCGAGTTGCAGATTTTGGGTGTTCTGTTGGTCCTAACACCTTCCGTGCAGTGCATAACATCATTGAAGCTGTTGAAAACAAATACAAATCCCTACCGGTGGAAACAGAGATGCCAGAATTCCATGTCTTCTTCAACGACCATGTCAATAATGATTTCAATACTCTCTTCAGAAATCTTCCAGCTACAGGGCGGTACTTTGCATCTGGAGTTCCGGGTTCTTTTTATGGGCGCCTACTTCCTAGTTCTACACTACACTTTGCACATTGCTCCACCGCGCTTCACTGGCTCTCCAAGATCCCAGTAGAAGTGATGGATAAAAACTCCCCTGCTTGGAACAAGGGCAGAATTTGTTATAGTGGAGCTGCTAAAGAAGTTAAAGATGCATATTCAACTCAGTTTGGAAAAGACATTGATTCTTTCCTGAGAGCCAGAGCACAAGAGCTTGTTCCAGGAGGATTGATGATGCTTGTAGCAGATGGACTCCCCGATGATGTCCAGATGTGTGAGTCCAGCATAGGGGAAAATCTTAACGTTCTGGATCCTGTTTCCTGGACCTGACCAAAATGGTAAAAGTGGTCCAATTACATCAAATTTCACAAAATCAGTTTTTCATCTTTTAATAGTTACATACTTTAAAGTTGACACCATCATATCCTTGCAGGGGATGATTGCTCAAGAAATGGTGGATTCGTTTAACTTGCCTTTTTATTATCCATCGCCATCTGAGCTGAAAACACTGATTGAGGTGAACGGATTGTTTGAGATTAAGAAAATAGAGAAGCTAGATTCTTCAAGCGCAAAAAAAGGGGTACAGCTTGACGTTGATGTCTGTATCCTTCACATGAGAGCTGTCCTTGGGGAACTCGTCAAGAAACATTTTGGTGAAGGAGTAATTGATATCTTGTTCGAACGTCATAGAGAAAAATACATCGAGAATCCTATCCTATCTGATGAGAGGTACATTAAAGACGCAAGCTACGTTGTCTTTCTCAAGCGGAAAATAAAAGTTACTTCCTAATTATTCAGAAGAAATTCCATATGATCAATTGACAAAGCTGGGTCTTGTGTAGATGGTGCAGAAACAATGAGAGTTATTGGATTGCAGATTACTTCAAGAGTTGTATTAGTTGTAACGTAGTGTATGTAAGACGAAAAGATTGTCAGAAGAATGATAAAGTGGCGAGAAAACGTGTTTTGAGAATTTCAGGAAAATATTTTGGCTCGTAATTACTATCCAAACAAAACCTTTATATTACTGATCAGTAGTTGTATGAACTTGTCTTAACTCACAATAAAATTAGCTTTTTTTTGGGAAAGATTTAATAAAACTTAAAATTAAATGCGAGAAATTTATTAAAGAAGGCATCAAGAGACTGCTGAAAAACAAAGAGGCAATTTTGAAAACAAACCTATCATGCTACTTGGATTTTACTAGCCATTTTTTTAGCCCTGGAACCATTATTGTTGTTGAGTTTGTTTTTGTGTCTTATATTGGGAGTTCTACAAAGAAGCACGCCCTCTCCTTGGTAGTTAAAAATATGTCGAGTTTAAGTAAATTTAAGCATGTCAAGGCACCAGTACAAGAGAGTTTTGAAGAGTCCATACTCCAATTTAAGAGAGGTTTTTGGATCAAGCACCAAATCAAAAGAGCTAATTAGGCGGCTATTTGGGTCTTTGGATTGTTAAGCCTTTTATGTTTCTTGGGTTCTCTTGAATTTTCATATTTGTACGTTCTATGAAGATCATGATTGATAAGTTTAGCGACACAAGCTTGTCTGTCTAACCCTCGAGGGAGAGAGCAGATACAAGAAGATCTTGGTCTGAGGAGCCAATGCTCATGCTAGATACAAATAGAATCACCTGATCCTACTCTCAATCTGCAACCAATATTCAAAACTTTCCGACCTTCAAGAATCCCTCTCCATGTAAAGGAAGGACAACAACCTAGCATTGCTTGAAGGAAGTCAGTAAAAGAAAAATACTTCGCTATAAGTACACAATGAAGAAGGGGCCTTGGAGTAGTAAGAATCCTCCGAGCTTGCTTTCCGAAGAAATTTGTGGTCGAGCACTCGTAAAGATTGTCCCCTTCTATCCAAGAAATGAAACAAATTCGAAGACCAATGAGGGCAAGAATCAACAAAAGGGAGAATTGATTTAAATTATAGATCAATTTAGCATACTATCATAGATCAGCATGTGCCAACAGCATCTAAGCACCAACATACAAAAATCACTGTTTTGTTATTTGGAATGTCAAAATATACTGTCACAAAGATGGTAAATGCAAAAGGGTTGCTCATAACTTTTCTTAATTAAGACATTGTTGGAAAAAAAAAAAAAAGTGGAATGATTTTGTACTACTAGTGTAATTGTTGCATTCTTTTGCAAAGACTTAAATAGTTTATCATAATTTGTGTTGTATTCCTTACAGTAATTGATATCTAGTTCCTTATTAATGTCACTATGTAGTACAAATTCTCCTTTGAGACCGACTGTAGAGGCCAATTAGCATTTGATATCGGTTGCAACTTGCATTGACGTGCCTAACTAACTCAAGCCTATTTTGCCCAAAAAAAAAAAAAAGAAACTAAAATTTTTAATCAACAAGGGTTTTTTTTTTGAGACAATCAACGAGTTAAATCAAGTTGCATTGGCCGTAGCTCGAACCCCTAATTGTTTTGTGCAGTCAATTGACCTCTGAAAAGACGATATCGTCATCTACAAGGACATATTTTAGTCAAGCCGGCTGGTTTCTGATATTATTATTGGTTAAGTTTGGGGAATCCTCTATCTTGTCTTTGTTTTGTAGAATTTAATAGATAAATACAGATTATATAACAGACCGAGTGTCATGCCTCGTGTGAAAATGACAACGTTGTAATTTTGAAAGTTACAAACATAGATAAAATGATAGTAAGAAGAGTAGAAATACCTACAATATAGAGATAAAGAGAGAAGATAATGATAGATTTGAGAGTTCTAGTAGTAAAGAGTGAATAATTCTGGAGTATTGATTGACCGCTAGTACATGTTAGATGTTACCAATAATTTGTTATTAAGCATTTTGAACCCGTTACTTTTCACTAAAAATATTACTTGGTCAGCAGCTTAACATCCGGGTTATTACAACTTAATTTTGTCTTGAAGCTTCCTTTTCTAACATACAATAACATTGCACAGGGTCTGCCTTTCTTTCTGTAATATCTTTCTTTCCACGTCAATCAACTTTTACTATAGTTGCTTAAAATAAATAAAAATTCATGTGAAACGACAGAATCTTCAACCTTTGGGGTACACGTTAAAAGGAAAACAGCTTCCATTTGTTGAAACTTTCATTTTTTGTATTGGCTGGTGCCAAAGGGACAATTTATGAGCCACTACATCGAATGGCCCTATTGATATTTTTTTTTTTTTTTTTATTGTCATGAAGATAAAAAGGCACAACAATATTGTAAGTGAAACAAAATCTTCAACTAATTCTTTCAGTTGTCTATTCTCATGCGATCCAGTGGGCTTTTGCCATCAAGTTTGGAGCTTGGAATCAGTCCGAAAAACTCCAGCAATCCTATTGTCTTGTATTGTGCTCCATTTTCTTTGACAAGCTCCGGTAGAGGACCGATTTTTGCTGTCAAATTTGCGTTGTGGAATGCAGCAATTGACAACCTTTCTTTCTGGAAATCCACAACAGCTCTATGCTCTATGCTTCTATATTCTCCATTACTCATTATCTGCATTCCACCAAATATAAAAGCAACATGAACTGAAAAGCAAGTTATAGATGTTCTTCAGGAGCACTCAACTTTTTTTTCCCAGTTGTTCTGTCTTTATCTATTCATATATTGAGTTATTATCTTTTTGTGGTTAGGTACCTCCATCATATCACCAATGTTGACTATAATTGCTCCAGGAATGGGTTTAATAGGCACCCATGTATTGCTTTTCTTGATTTGCAGGCCTTGAACATCATTGACTTGAACTAATAAGGTCAGTCCTGTTCCATCGGAGTGGGGAGAGGCGCCGAAAACTTTGTCTGCTTGTCTGCAGGGTGGATAGTAATTCATTCTTATTCCTTGTATGCCATCTTGATAGATGCTGCATAGTTTGCCTGGCTCCAGCCCAAGATTCGCCTCGATAAGTTTGAAGAGGCTCATGCAAACCTTGTGAATTTGAAGTGAGTATTCATCCAAGGTTGATCTGATGTAATCAGAAAATTGCAGTTAGCATTGTGATGAAAGTTTTGCATACAACTTGTTGGCTTTTTGTCACTTCAAAAGTGCCTTGTGGCTTTGTAATGGAAGCAAAAAATGCTTCATAGTAAAGAAAAAGAGTCTTCTGTTTTATTTGTGGGGGTATTTTGATAAAGAATACAAATATTAAAAAAGTGAATTATTTGAGTTTTTAAGTTACATAAATGGGTAACGGCTATAACGGTCATAATATGAATGTGAATTTAACCATTACACAGTTAAACTAAATCACTATGTCTTGTAACTGAAATTTGTATGATGTCTAATTTTAATTTACCTATTTATAACTCTTATTTTTCAAACCTATAAATAACTCTTATTTTTCAAACCTATAAATAGAAGTTCTAGCAATAGATTACTTGCTTCAATTGTATATACTATATTTCTACGTCTATCCCCTATAAAGTGTTTCTTGTATTATTTTTTTACTACTACAAATATAATACATTAGATAAATGTGTTACTAGAGTATTATATGGGGCAAAGTACAGTATTTGGATAGATTTCTATGTTATTCCATTGGTGTAGATTAGAGTGGACTATAGTGGAAAAGACTGTACTGCTGTATTCTGGAGGTTACATACTGAGATCTATTATATCGGAAGATACTTCGTAGAGGTACAGCTTTTAAAGAGAGCTACCTAATTCATGCCTCAACCAATGCCAAACAAACATTACTGGTACAAAATATTTGCATTTTTTTATACAATATTGAAGTATGAGAATTTTTGTTAATTTCCTAGTTGAATTTAATTGCAGAAATTATTGTTACTTATTTGATTATTTTAGCCCAAAACCAACATAATTGTGCACACATAGAGGATAAATTCCCATGAATTATGGGAGACTATCAAAGCAGAAAGGACCTTGACAAACAGACTAGCCATCAAGATTGATTAGGAGGCTGATTATAGAGTTTTTTGTTTTTTGGTGGTGGGGATGGGGTTGAGTTTAAAAATCGAGGGCAAAGAAAGAAAATTCAACCCATGACCTCTAATTCTTTGATATTCAATCTTAATCACAAGACCAAGGCCTCCTCGGCCAATAATAAAGTAAGATAATTTTGCTGCAGATGTGGGAAACAATTGTGATAATGTGTACTATTCATGGTTTACCTAAAAGATGTTGGAGAATTAGGCCAGAATCTCATGTTTCTTTGAGAAACTGGCAATGGAAAGAGGAAGAGCATGTCCCCCCAGTCAAGCTTTTGATCCTCTGATACAACAAATGTTTGACCATAGCCTTCAATATGGTTTGGTACTTGTGCACAGGCCATTTTCTGCTCTAATGGCAGCTTGAAGAAATCCTCTGTCACCACCTTCATTTTCTCGATTACCATTGAGGCGCCATGGTTGACTAACTGTTGCAGGATTAGTCATGGATCGATAATTAATTTGCAAGGGAAATTAATCTCAATATCTATGTATTACAGTTATTGTAAACGAGGAAATTGAAAACTTTCATACAAGGAAATTGTCCCAGGCAAAAGTCTGTGATGAACTTAAACTGATAAGGTAGTATACAGAATTTTCTTGAATTTACCTGAAAGAAACCAAACTCTTTACAAGCCTGATGAAGTTTTGCCATCTCATTTTGGCATTCTGAATGACTTGTTGCAAGATTCTCCATATCAATCACTGGAACCTGTGAAGACTCATCGGTTGAAGTTTTATCAAGGATCATTTCAGGCCGGATGTATCGATGTGGGATTTCTTTGGAGCAATTAGAAGCTAGTTCTTGCACATTCTCCACAGGAAGAGAACCAAGGTCA